AGTTTGAGGACAGCCTGGGCAACTTAAGAAAGAGCCTGTCTTAAAATGAAAAATAAAAGGGACTGGGGATATAGCTCAGTGGTAGAGCACTTACCTAGCATGTGCAAAGCCTTAGGTTCAATCCCTAGTACCACAATAAGTAAATAAATAAAAAACCAAAGCTATGTATGGCAAACCCATAGGTAAAATATAGTTAGAATAACATAGTTTATGTAAAATAAACTGGTGAAATAAATTGAAGAGGGCACCAAAAAATGGAACGATATTCCATGTTCATGGATTGGAAGAGTTAATGTTATTAAAGTGTTCATGCCACTCTAATTCAACGTAATTCCTATCAAAATGCCAATGACATTCTTCACAGAAATAGGGGAAAACAACACTCCTAAAATCTGTATGGAGCCACAAAATCCCAACTAACTAAAGCAACCCTGAGCAACAAGAATAAAGCAAGGCATCACAGTATCTTACTTCAGAACACACTACAATGCTACAGTAACCAAAACATCCTGGGCATATATCCAAAGGAAAGAAAATCTGTATGTCAAAGAGATATCTGCACTCCTATATTTGTCGCAGCACCTAGGGTGTGGAATTAGCCTAACCGAAGTTCATCCATTATCCATTAATAGATGAGTAGATAAAGAAAATGTGATATATAGAAAGAATGGAATATTATTCAGCCATAAAAATGAATGAAATCTGTCATTTGTGGCAGCATGGATGGAAATGAAGAAAATTATGTGACGTAAATAAGTCAGGCACATGAAATCAAATATCAGCTATTTTTATGTAAATGTGGAAACTAAAAAATTGATTCCATACAAGTATAAAGTAGAGAAGTGACTGCAAGAGTCTTCAAAGGGGATTAGTTTGGAGAGAGGACCATTGCTGGTTCAGGTGTGCATTTGGATTAAGAAATATTTTCTAGTGTTCTGTAGCACCATAGGGTAACTGTGATTGACAGTATTTAATTAAATATTTTAAAATAGCTAATAGAGAATATTTTAAATGCCCCCAACACAAAGAAATAAGATGACAAATATACTTCAAAATCTAATCTAATTGCACATTATATGTGTGTGTGTTAAAATATCACACTGTATCCCATAAATATGTATATAATTATGTGTCAATTAAAATATTTGAAAATTTAAGAGGTGGGTTCTAAGTTCTGATTATTATAAATAGAGTTTTCACCTATACAAATGTCTATAGAAGACATTCAAAAATTGAACAATATGCAGGACAATTCATTATATGAACTATCCAGGGTACTTATAAGATATCTGGTATGTCTGACTCCTGACAACAGAATGCCTAGGATGTCACCTCATTATTATGACATTTAGGATACATGTATGCGTGCGCGCACACGCGCACACACACACACACACACCATATTACAAAGATGCCCACAATGGGATAGTACCACATCCATTGAAATCCACTGGATAATGGCATCAGGGAAAGACCTAAACTGAATTCTGAAGAACTTCCAGGAGTTATCCAAGGATTATATATAATATATGTTTAGAGAGAGATAATTTTTTTAATATTTATTTCTTAGTTTTTTCGGCGGACACAACATCTTTGTTTGTATGTGGTACTGAGGATCAAACCCGGGCCACACGCATGCCAGGCGAGCGTGCTACCGCTTGAGCCACATCCCCAGCCCCTTATTTATATTTCTTGAAAGATCCTATTTATTTATATTTCTTGAGAGATTGTCGCAGTTTAAATTTAAGCAATCCTTTATCATAAATTGAAATAGAATTTCATATCAATAAGTCAGAATGCCTGACAAAGCAGATTTTAAGCAAAAAATTAATCAAGAGACAGAAAAATTAATCAAAAGATCACTATATCCTGGTAAGGGAACAAGAGATATAATGATAATAATATATATGCCCCAAATATTAGTGCACCTAATTACATTTAAAAAAGATAATTCTTAACATTAAACCCCAGATAGATCCCAATACAATAATATTGTATTGTTAAATGATATTGTATTATCAAAACACCATTATCACCAATAGGTCATCCAAATATAAAATCAATAAAGATATTACTGACTCAAATAATACTATAAGTCAAATGGACCTAATAAATATTTACAGACTGTTTCACCCCAAAACAACTGAATTAACTTTCTTTTAATGCTACCTTTTCCAAAATCAACCATATTCTAGGTCACAATGTAAATTTTAGAAAATACAAAAAAATGATATAACCTCATGCATTCCATCAGATCATAATGGAATGAAACTAGAAATCAACAAGAAAAAGAATATAAACCACATAAACACAGAGAGACTAAATAAAGAATGGATCAAAGAAGAAAACAAGAAATTCTTAGAAAAAAATGAGAACATATATAATAAAACATATCAAAGCTCTGGGATAGTGTGAAGCAGTTCTAAAGAGGAAAATTTATTACAAAAAATACCAAGAATCCCACTCCTTGGTATTTATCCAAAAGAACTAAAATCAGCATACTATAGTGATATAACCCCTCAATATTTATATTATAGAGGGATTGGAGGGGAAGGGAGTGGGCATAGGGTTATTAATGATGGTGGAATGTGATGATTATTATTATCCAAAGTACAGGTATGAAGACACGAATTGGTGTGAATATACTGTGTATACAACCAGAGATATGAAAAATTGTGCTCTATATGTGTAATAAGAATTGTAATGTATTCCACTGTCGTATATAAATAAGAAAAAAATACCTCTGATGACTGTAGATGCAAAAATCCTTAATAAAATATTAGCAAACTGCATTCAAAAACACATTAAAAAGATAATACCCCATGATCCAGTGGGTTTTAATGCAGGGAGATAAGCTTGGTTCAACAAAAAGATCCCAAATAAATAAGCTTATGTTCCACCTCAAGTCCTTAAAAAAGAAGAACAAACTGATTCCAAATCAATAGAAGACAGGAAATGGAATTAGAAAAAAATTGTCCCTTAAATTTATTAAGAAGACTAAGAGGCCCAGAATAGCCAAAGCAATACTAAGAAAGAAATTTGATGCAGGAGACATCACAATACCGACCTTAAATTATACTACAGAGCTATAGTAACAAAACCAGCATGGTACTGGCATCAAAATAGACATGAAGACTAATGGAATAGAATAGAGGACACAGATGCAAACCCATATACTAATTGCTGTCTGATAAGTTGGACAAAGGTGCCAAAAATATATGCTGGAGAAAAGATAGCCTTTTTAACAAATGGTGTTGGGAAAACTGGATATCCATATGTAGAAGAATGAAATTAGATTTCTCTCACCCTCACAAAGTCAAATCAAAATGGATCAAAGACTTAGGAATTAGACCAGAAACCTTACAACTGCTAGAAGAAAACAAAGTCAGCACTTGCACTTACTTCCTTAACAAGACCCCTGAAGCTCAAGAAGAAAACCAAGAATCAATAAGTGGGATGTCATCAGATTAAAAAGGAAATGATTAAGAGTGTGAGCAGAGTAAATCTTTGTCCTCTGTACCTCTGACAGGAGATTAATATCCAGAATATAGAAAGAACTCAAAAATCTTAACATGCAAAAAAAAAATAATAATATTTACCCCCAAAATGGGCAAGAGAACTAAATAGACACTTCTCAAAAGAAGAAAAACAAATGGCCAAGAAATATATGAAAAAAAATGTTCAACATCTCTAACAATCAGGGAAATGCAAATCAAAACTACACAAATATTCATCTCACTCCAGTAAGAATGGCAATTATCAAGTACACAATAATAAATGCTGGAGAGGTTGTGGGGGAGGGTAAACTCATACTTTGTTGGTGGGACTGCAAATTAATACAAACATTCTGGAAAGCAGTATGGAGATTCCTCAAAATACTAGAAATAAAACCACCTCTGACCTAGGTCTCCCACTCCTTGGTATTTATCCAAAAGAACTAAAACCAGCATGCTATAGTAATATAGCCACTTCATTATATATATATTACAACCGAACAATTCACAATGGCCAAATTATGGAATCAGCCCAGATACCCATCAGTAGATGAATGAATCAAGAAAATGTGGTATATATACACAATATGGTTTTATTCAACCATAAAGAAGAATGAAATTATGGCATTTGCTAGTAAATAGATGGAAAAGGAGAACATCATACTAAGTGAAATAATCCAGACTCAGGAAATCACGGGTTGAATGTTTTCTGTAATATATGGAAGCTAGAGAAAAATAAGGGAAAGAAGATTGGGGTGGGTGTTCCAATATCATAAAGATAAAGGGAAGATCAGTGGAGTAGAAGAAGATGAGGGAGGGAGGAGGGATGGGAAAGTGGAATATAGAATCAAGTTAAAAAAATTACATTCTATGCATATATAAATATGCCATAGGAAATTTCTACATATACTTTATGTATATGTAGAAAGTACCAATAAAAAATTTTAAAAAGGTGTAAAAGGAAGATAAGTGGAATAGAGGAAGGAAAATAAGGAGAGGGAGCTAGGAGGTAAATGGGGAGAAAGAGGATTTAAATCAAATTACATGCATGTATGATTTTGTGAAAATGAACCCAGTCACTATGTGTAACTATAATGCTCCAATAAGAAAATACACTTAAGGGCTGGGGTTGCAGATCAGTGATAGAGCACTTGCCTAGCATGTGTGAGGCACTGGGTTCAATTCTCAGCACCACATATAAATAAATAAAATAAAGGTCCAACAACAACTGAAAATATTTTTTAAATACATTTTTAAAAAATAAGTCAGCATGCAAGGTAGAAAATACCAAGAGGCTTCCTAGTGCCTTAGAATGGCAAATGTTTGTGATATTGCCCCATCTTGGTCTCCTGAACATTTAGAGTCAAACTAATTGCATGGGATGGCGCTATATTTGTACATTCTGTAGACTATGCTCTGCTGAATTGTTTTCTTTCAAATGAAATGTATGGGTTTCTATACTTTAGTATTCATTTTCAGTCTGTTTTTCCATCTATTTTTCAATAGGATATTGAAGAGACAATGAACACTGCTTTGAATGAACTCCGGGAACTGGAGAGACAGAGCACAGCAAAGCATGCCCCTGATGTGGTGCTGGATACCTTGGAACAAGTGAAAAACTCTCCCACCCCTGCTACTTCCACAGAATCTCTCAGCCCTTTGCACAACATTGCCCTCAGGAGCTCAGAGCCTCAGATTCGACGTAGCACTAGCTCCTCCAGTGACACAATGAGTACTTTCAAGCCTATGGTGGCACCCAGAATGGGCGTGCAGCTGAAGCCCCCAGCCCTTAGGCCAAAACCTGCTGTTCTTCCAAAAACAAATCCTACCATAGGACCTGCCCCACCTTCCCAGGGTCCAACAGACAAGTCTTGCACGATGTAAAAACCAGCTGAGCAAAGGCATAAGGGGAGGTGATTTAAAAGAAACGGATTAGTGACAAAAGTCAGTGATCCATAACTTTCCTTAGTTTTGTGCTTATAACTGGAGATCTTTTGGCTTTTCTATGTTGTCGAATGTTATGTCTGCAACTAGCTAACTTAACACGGGCATTTGTATTTTGTAATTTTTTAAATAACTGGACATATGTCATTTTAAAGACAATAGAAACACTTAGACTTACTTGAAAATCCAATGCTGCACCACTTGTAATGAAGGCAACACCACTCCCCGCATTGTCCAGTGCTTCAGGCTTAGTGGAGCCCAGGTGAATCTCCTGAAAGCAGGAGAATCTGAGTGCCAGGTTTTATTGGAGTAGAACCAGTGTTGGTCTGTGGCACTTAGGGTAATAGCTGAAAGATTATGGCACTATTTGGCAGCTGAGAGTGAGCACCTCTGATTCCATTCAGAGTAGGGGTCAAGCTCCTGCTAAAAACTTAAAAAAGGGTTGTCACAGTGGGACCTTCAGCCCGTGGCTTGAATGAGTTGAATGATTGCCTTTTCTGTAACAGTCATTTCCTTGGGTTCAGTTGAAAGACCAGTGAAGGGAGTAGAACCTCACAGTTATTGCTTGAACTGAACCCGGGAAATGAGAGAGAGATGCCATCTCAAAGCTATAGATGTGAATCCTTCCATAAGCATGATCAGGCCCCAGAGATGTCCAAGTCCATCAGGGCCTAGAAAGGACTAGAACAGTCTAATGTTAAAGATTTTCTAGTGATACCACAAACCACTAAAAAAAAAAAAATCTGTTGTTCAATATCTGCCTACAAAATATGTGTCCCCTAAATTCTTATGTTATCCTCTTTGGAAATGGAGAGAGCAGACAGGACATGAATCCTTGATTCACTATGTGTTCTCCTCTGACAAAATTACCTTGCTTCCTTTAAATACATCACAAAGGCCTGATAAGCCTGCATTTGAAATCCCAGCTCTCCTCTCCATTTTTCTCTTTGAGCCAACCCAGAACTGACTATGGTACTTGAGTTCAAAAGCCATGCTAGGCCATAGTGGGAAGATTATCTTATGATTCCAGGGTGATTTCCTTATAATTTTGTACCTTGGAACCATGATTTTTTTTTTCATGTAATCTCTATATAACTCACAGTCAAGTGAGCTCAACTAGAGACTCTCTTTCTCTGTCATCCTAGCACAGAGACAATTTTTCATTAGCCCATATTTTTACTATATTTCTCTAACTTAAAAATTGGTTTTTGTTTTGTTTTGTTTTTGTTTCTTTTAGTTTTGGAGCTGGGGATTGAATTTAAGGCCTCATGCATGCTAAACACACGCTTTACCACTGAGCTAATCCCCAGGCCTTCCCCAAATTGTCTTGAATGCAATTATTCCTATGAAGGTACAAATCACCATTGTCCCACTACTGGAGCTGATATCATCTATCGACCTATGAGCATTTTATCTACATTGTCATTGAACTTCCCGAGTTAAACAAACAAACAAAAAGGGATGCCTCAGAACAAACTCTGCTGGACACCTCTTGATTGCCTTCTAGGTTTAGTTTCAAACTGGCATCCAATTGCATGTCCACCTAAGAGCTGCACAGCAGGAACTTTAATTAATGGGCCCACCGGTGAATGCATTATGCAGAAACAAATCAAGATCTGTACTAAAATCATTTCTTTGATCTCTACCTCAATTTGCCAGATTAATTGTTCTATTTGCAGAAAGAGATTAAATTAATGAAGTATTATTATCTTTCAAATGACATTGCCAATTGCTTGCCTGAGGCCTGATTTCACAAATGGATTGAATAGTGGGATTCTCCCCAGCAGCCCCCCGAGTATTTCCAGGTATGGTTATAAATTATAAGCCTTAGAATTTCCATAATGATTCTTTATTGGCCATATTGAAAAAGAGGCCCAGCTCAGCCTAAATTCATTTCCCCTAAATTCAGTGGTTGTTCAGACCTTTGACACAACAGAGACCCACTTAGGACTGAGTTTTGAATAGCACCAACCCTTTTAAACAGTTCTCCCTTAAATTCTCTGACAAGTTTCAACTTTCTTTTATAATCCTCAGTTTTTTAAAAATAATCAGGATTCTTAAAACCATTTTCCTACTCTAATGGAAGAGTAAGAGGTTAACAAAATGCATGAGAAGGACACAGGTGTTCTGAATTTATTTTTAAATGCCTTCTATGAACTTTTGACTATAGCTTTTAGATCTTACTCCCTCAAGTTCATTCCTTCATCTCCCTGGTATTCCTCCCCAGGGTCTTCTCTCTTAGTGTTTCCACTATAATGGAATAACAGTTGCCTTTCTGCCCCCCAAATCAGGCCTCTGCTGCCTTGGATGACAGAGGACGTGCTGCTGTAGAGTCTGGGAGACTGTGCCTTCTCTCAGGAAACAGCTCCTATTGTACCCCATCACTCCCTTTCTCTGGCTTATCCCCACTTTTTCTCCCAATACTCCTAACGTCACCTCCAGACTTTTTCCTCAATAACAAGCAAAGCATGTGACCTCCAAGTGAGCAAGGACTCAGTAAGTTCTGGCCTCTTACTTTGTTTAGTAAGTCTTCAGAGTCCAAGGATAAGACAAGGTAACCACTTTCTTTGCAAAGGACCCAAAATAACACCCAGTAAAGCTCATTAAAAGCTGCAGCAGCTGAGAAGCTTCACCTGCCTCACGGCTTTCTTTAGGGCCACAGGTGCAGCGCACAGAGGGAAGACACAGGGAAGAGGGAGAGAAAAAAGGAAATGAGTCTTGGAGATGCTATGTCCCCCCTCTCCATTTCAAGGGTCTTAGCAGTCTTACAGTTTGGGGAGGTGATCATTTTGATGGTGAGTAAATTATAATGCTATAAATATTAACCTTATTCCACCTGCACAAGTATATATATTCACAGCTGATACAACTGTGTTCATGTCCCATTTATAGAACTCAGTGCAGTAGCTGTACCAAGTCAGCTTTTTGGTTTGGCTAGGGATCTGGGGAGTGGATTGTTAGGATAGAGAGGAAGGTACTTAGTACACATTTTCTGATGAGTGTTAGTAAAGTGTTTCAGCCTGTTGAGTGGCACTTTGTGGAGCTCCATGTTCACGTTCAGTGTCGATGCCATTGTTCAATAGTTTCACATGTCTTCACACAACATAATCTGACCATGGGGCCCCTTGAGCCATCCATAGAATAATTTACAGCAGGGTCCCATGTAATCTACCACCTTAGTCATGAACGGTAATGAAATGATGTAGAGCTCCAAGGGTCAAATGTATTCTGTAAGAATTTCCTATGTACTTTTGCCATTCCCAAAATGGGTTTATAATTTAGTGAAAAGAAAACAGGGGATGGGTTGGTTGTGGTGTCCTTAGCTTTTAGGAACGATATAGCCTCTGAAGTCCACTAACTGAAAAAACTATCATCTGATGATTACAGCCTCTGAAATCCAATGTTAAAAAGCCTAGGGGTCCATTAGGGATAAGAAGACTTCAGATATGGCTTGATACTTACTCCTGACCATAGCAGTGAGAGGTTATGAATGCAGAAAAATGCATTTGGGACTTAGTCTTGCTTGCAGTTGTCCACCACAGAGGCCCTGAGACACACAGCAGCTTAGAATTGAAGGCTCCTTCCATGTGCAGAGCCCCGCTATTCTGGATCACCTACAGGGCTGAGAACCCAACCTCCAGCTGGGCTGGAGCATGGGACTTGGTACAGGGTGACTTTGGCACAGATGGGTAAAACAAGCTGGAATCTGAGCTTTCACTTACCCGATTATGCTTTCTTTAAAAAGAAAGAAAATAGTCTATGTGGTATAATAGAGAAGGGTACCTGTATCTTTAAATTGCGTAGGGAATTTTGTATGTTTAAATAATTGTACTGGGTTCCATAATGCTTATCTTAGAAATTGTTTAGTAAAAGAAAAAATATATAAGCCGTGCATTTGTGAATGCCCCTGTTAGAGCATTCATCCAAGTTCAATGTGTAGTGTGATGGTTATTATAGATATTTAAAGTATAGTAAGTGGCTGTGTAACAAGAGAGACTGCTATTTACCTGCATACTTAAGGGTAACTCCTGCCCACGTAATTAAATCAGTATTGTCCTTTCCTGTCAGTTTGACCAATTGCAGTACTGGTAGCTTCCTGCTTGTGACTGTTACCTACTTGTGTCAATGTACATCTGTAGTATGTACATGTGAAAGTGCCTTTCTATTTTAGAGGAGTTTAGCCTTGCTCTTGTACTGTCGCCCCGCCCCGCCCACCTCCTCCTCCCTGCAATTCCTGCTGCCCACTTGAGTGTTTGGAAACGTCCTTCATCCCTCCCTGCCCCGTTTCTACCCGCCTTTCTGTGCCTCAGTGGTCAGTGGTGTCTGTCATGCATCTTTGCGGGTCATCAGACTGTCTCGTGTTCCTCCTAGACGTGGCCGTGCCTTTCTCACCCAGCAGTGACTCCGTCTCCTCCCATCCCACCTGTCCGTGCCCTGCTCACGCTGCTGCCTGCCATTGTGTTCGCCCATGCTCTGTACTGCCTCTTACCATCACATTCCCTCCTCTCTGAGACGAACATAAAGGGGGATGCTTTTACAGTTCTGGAAGAAGAAAAAAAAAATGTTTGTTAATCTGTTGTGACGATGCACTTTTCTGTATAGTACTGTACATTTTGGCATGTACCATTACAGGCTTCAGTATACAGTCGGGTTTGTTCTTCACGGTGTATCTTTATAATAAATAAGATAGTTCTGGCCGCCTTTGTCTGCTTGGTGTAATTATCCATGGTGTCTTTGTTCTTTCTTTTTTCTCATCATTATTTCCCCCCAGAGAGCTGGGTCCCATTAAATGATGTGAACTTTTAACCTTTAAAAAACAATTTTTTTAATCTGTCATTTTTGTTTGTACATTTAAAAAGAATTACCATGCACAGGACCTTTTCCAAGAGGCGTAGTTTTTCAGAGTCATGGTTTGGGGACTCCCATATAGCAAAGGAAAAGGCACTGGGGGACTCTGAACTTAGAGACTTGAGAGAACACCTAAACACACAGTAGATTGATCTTTCCATTGAAAATGACTAGTTGGCATAATAAAACTTGTCAGGCTGATCTTTTATTTCATTTGAATATATTGAAATATAGCCCTTACGTACTGACTCTGTTTAGAATTCCCCAGGTATTGATATTTTTTTCCTTCAGTCATTAAGGCCAACTCTTTAGGTCAGGCAATGCATAATAAGTAGTTAAACTCAATCAATCATGTGTCAGATTAAATGCGGTTAAGAGATGTAGAGTTTCAAAAAATGACATAAATCTAAATTTAACTTTTGATTGAAGTATAAAATATATACAGAAAAGGGCACAAGTCATTAGTGAATAATTTTCCAAAATAGCAGAACTGGGAGTGTAGCTCAGTGACAGGACACATACTTAGCATATGCAAGACCCTGGGGTCAATTCCCAGTAACAAAAACAAGGGGGAAAAAATGAAAGAAAGAAAGAGATAAACTCACTCACACATTCACCATCCAGATGAAGAAATAGCTTGCCATCAGATCCCGAAACTACTGTGCTCATCCCTCTATAAAGTATCCTGAAGAATCATCCTGGTTTGGTTTTTCTTTCTTCTATAAAAGGGCTCGTTCAGTTGCAGTATTTGTGCCTGGTTCCTTCTGTTCAAATTTATGTCTGGGGCTATGGATGTAGCTTGGTGGTAGAGCACTTGCCTAGCAAGTGCAAGTTTCTGAGTTCAGTCCCAGCACTGCAAAAAGAAAAGAAATACTAAAAGTTATCATTTTTGAACTGGCAGTTTTTCCATTTTTATTGCTGTATAGAATTCTACCACAGGAATAAGCTCAATATTTTATCTATTTTAGTACTTCCTAATTAAACTTTGGGTATTGTATGCAAACCTCACCAGTTAAAGGCTAAAGTAATTGTTTTTCCAAAACCTGATGGAAGG